GCTCAGGAAAGCCAGTGCTACGCTCTGCTCCCACCCACTGCCAAAGGGTACCATTGCTGAGAAGAGTTATAAAGGCAAAGCCTTTGGCTTCTCGCTCTGAAGAGTGGCTTTTCCACTGGACTGAAACCGGGAGCCCAGCTGCACTGGATTTCCCTCTCTTGAAGTTTGACACTGGGACCTTTGGCATTAAAGCAGCTGCTGCCTAATCCATGTGAGTGCAGGCTGAACTTTTAACTCCTTGCTGCAGTGTAATGGGGCCCTTCCTATTCTTTGGGGATGAAAAAGCGCTGCCAGTGTATGCCCTTCCAGGCTGGAATGCTTTTCTGGCATCCAGTTCCATGCCTGGCTGTTTCCTGTCAGGAAATAATGTGGGCATGAGATGCCTTAGGCTCAGAGCACTGTCACAAACTTCAGTGTAGTACCCACCAGCAGAAGACTGACTCTGTTTTACTACCGTGGAAATGTTCAGCTCCTTAAAGCTTTGTCTCTGACATTGACAGAAGTGATCCAAGAAATCCTTGGAACCAGTAAATGTCAGATGAGCTGGAACCTGGTACTGGAGTCCCTGGCCCAGCCTGTGATAAACAGGTACGTGGATTAGAGTCCCTTTACCCTGATAGCCTTTGCGTTGGGGCCTGTAAGCTACGCTCAGGGCTTTGCGGTGGGATTCATGCTGCCCGCTTTTTGGCACGGAACAGATCTGGCTGATTTTCCTAGACTTATGCTATCAGAGGGCATCTGGCTTGCTTGTTATGGAGGTGCATGTCTAGGACCTCGGTCTGGCTGGAGATTATTGAGCCAGTCTTGTTAATTATGTTGTTGGGCCTGCTTAGTTTGTGGATGTCAGGGGACTGTCAGAGGAAATAAGACTGGGTCCTGGTTTAGTTTGTTGTTTTTAGAAGAGCTTAGGGAGCTGTGTATATGTGTAAACAGTGGCTTTCTGTATACCTGTGCATTTGCAAAGCAGTGTTTTTGCGATGAACTGTTCTCTGTGCTGCTCAGCAGCTTCGAACACCCACTGGTTTAGGGGATGGAAAAAAAGAAAACCCAGAACCATCCCTGAAAACGTTTCTTCCAGGGTACGAGACCTTTTGTCTTTCCCCTGCTGGCAGTCAGAATACATCGTCCTTGCCTGAGCTTTGGCTTCTGCATGCCTGGAGCTAATCTTCCAGCTCCACTGTCCCCTGACCAGCCTAAGCTTTGTCTCCTCTCCATTTCAGGCACCTGGTTTTCTGCCTCTTGGACATTCTGCTGGAGTTCTTGGTTGTGAAGGGCTCCAGCCATGAGCTGGAAACCGCAGCTGTTGCGCCATCTGCTTCTAGCGACCTGGACAGAGCAGGCGTGTCGGCACATTAACCAGGGCTGGTGTAGCCAGCAGCTGGAAGAGGGAAGCAGCCACAGGCACGGGATGATTTGATTTTCATTGTTTACTGAACATGTCTGGGAGCTTCTTGTAAAGATTTTTTTTTCCAGACAGTGCTAAATGAAGCTGCTTCCAGGCTTCTCTGTTTTGGCTGGGGGATGGATTAAACCCAGCATCAGGGGCTGAAGATGCTTTTTGGCTGCGTGGCATCTGTTCCATTGCTGACCTGATGGAGAGCCTGGAATGAAGATGCCTGACCGCTGCTGAGCCGGACGGTCTGAGAAGGATATGCAGGCTGCCCACGAGCCCTGTTGTCTTGCCCTGTGTTTCGGAGCATCTCCAGCATCTAAAGGCAGCCAGCACACAAGATTTCCTTTTGTGGCCTCAGGTTCCACCTGACATAGGCATGCAAAGACCTGATGTGCCAGTATCTTGTTGACAGACGTTTCTCCAGGACAGGGGAAGGGAGGACCAACTGCTGTCCCTGCTCTCTAAGCACCCTGCCCTGTACCTCCACCGCACTGTCAGTTTTACCAGGAGGAAGTTGGGGAGAGAATAGTGTGGAGATATGGTCATAGCCCTGAAGTCAGCATCCAGGACTCATCCCCACTGCCCAAATAACTGGAAGGTCGAAAGCAGTGCAGAAATCAAAGCTGCTCCCCTGCCTTGGGGACAAACAGAATCTGCCTGCTGCTGCCAATGCTCTGACTTGGTCTTGCTGGAGTATCTTTTGCTGCCTAAACAGTAGGATGAACGTAGGGTAGACTGTGGTCCTGGAAAAGAGAACTTTTCCCAGGCTGTAGAGGAATGGTGGCTGAGCTGGACTTCAGGATTACTGTGTATTTTGCCTGCTGAATCATGTTTCAGTCCCAGAGGCACGGGAGAAAAGGACTTTATCCATGTGTGACACAGCAAGTAAATCAGCTCCCACATAAAAGTGCTTGTCACACTAAGCTCTGGAAGAGGAGCGAGCATCTCTGAGTCCAGGAGGAATTCCGGACACATGTCATGGAGAGCTAGTGGGTTGGACCACAGGAATGGGCTCATGAGCCCCACCGTAGCTCCGTCATTGATCACTGTGTTGCTGTGCTTTGGTTTACTCTGCTTGCTGTTAGAGCAGCTGTGAGCAGGGGGCTGCAGGAAGCTTGTCACTCACAGTGTCCGGTGCCACCCAGCACAGAATGACATGTTGATCTGACAGCTGCTGTGTTGGGTCATCCAAGGCTTGAGTGGTTTTCCAGGCTTACACTGCCCAGCTGTCAGGTTTGTGACGGGGCAAATGGACACAGAGAATGTGGACTGCGAGAATATGCACTGACAGACCGGTTTGGTGACCTGTTTTGGTGTATTTCCTGGGAGCAATATGAACTGACCCATGCTGGACTTCACTGATCAAGGGGACACTGCTCCTGGTGTTCCCTACAGATCAAACACTTGGAGACTTGGAAGAGGGCAGTGTGCAGGATTGCAGCTAGTGTCTGTGTTAGGGTACAAAACAGTGCATTTCATATAATCTGCTGCTTCCTGGAGCTGGATGCTCCATGGCACGTTTGGAGAGGTGATGTTAACTCCAACGTGCTACTACTGGAAGCGTATTCTGCTCTTTCCAGAGGCAGCTGCTAAATTACAGACGCACGGCAGTGTGTGCTTCTTTGTGTCTCTGTTGTGTGGGTTAGTTGTGTGACAAACAGATGCACGGCGTTGTGTGCTTCTTTGTGTCTCTGTTGTGTGGGTTAGTTGTGTGACAATACAGGGCAGGATTAGCTTGCCCCCTTGTCTTGAGGGTTGGGAGAATGAGCCATCAGCCAGGGATGACGTAGCATAGCCCTGTTGTCTGTGGTGGCTTCTCAGGTGCTCATGGTGTGCTGGCTTGTTGTTGCTTCCCTAGTCATTGTAGGGGTTTGGAGCTCCAAGGAAAAGGATCATCCAGAGATGGACTGCAGACTATGTGCTGCCAGCTCCCTGGGAGGGCAGAGGTCTGGCACAGTCCTTATATGGCGTTGGAAGGATGAGCTTACGCTTTTCCTTTGCCAGGAAGCCCTAGCATCCTGCCTGACCTCTGACGTTGTGTGAATACTCAATATTCATTTCTCCTGATGGACGTAATTTGCTGTTTCTGCTGCCAGGCTCCAAGGAGCATAACTTGAGAGCTGGTGCTTCACTGGGACGGCGCGATGACCATTTGGGGTTGTAGCAGAGAACTGCTGGGTCTGTGCATCCTCAGGGGCCTCAAAGCCTGTGTTTTGCAGGCTTGCTCACATGGCGAAGTAGCAACATCTCTGTGTTTACCTGGGAGGAGTTTGGTTCACAGGATCATTCTTTTAATTTCGAGAACTCCCTTTCTTTTCTTAGAGCGAGGAAAACTGCAACCAGTGTTGCCGAGCCCTTTCTCATGCTCTTACTGGAGAAGCTTCAAACTCCTGTAATCTCCTCCGTAGCTCTTAGTCCATTCTCACAGCCGAGGTGAAGCTGCCCAGGAACAGCATAGGAACAAGCAGCCCCTCTCTGTATCTTCTTGTTAAGGAATAAAAAACCCAGTGCAAAATTCAGCTTTTTTCGAACGCCGGCTCTTTGCCTCCCTAGAATTTTCAGATTAAGTTGAGCACGATGGTGGCCAAGGCAAGAGCTTCACAGCAGCGCCGTAAGCTAAATTCTAGTTTTTGTGTTGAGCCAGAGCTGCTTTTTGGATTGTTTTCAGGAAAAACGAGTGCTGCTGCTATGTACTGACTCCCTGTCCTGTGTTCAAACCCCTGCGCTGCTTATCTGTGGGTGCAGCCTTTCAAGTCTGTGTAGAAGGGTGCTGTCTTGAAAGCCTATTTTGTTGTGAAATGGGGAGCAAACCGCTGCTCCCAAGTACTTGTGACGTATGTTCTGACTCTGTGTACAATAACACTCTGTTTCAAACTTTTTCCTGCATTTTGGTTTAAAATCCGCCTTTGCCAAGAAACTGCCTGGAAGATGGCCCTTGGGAAGAGCAAGTAAGGGAGAGGAAAAAGGCCAGGTGGGAGTGGGAATTGGGGAGCAGGCATCTCCCCGAGTGTCCTGAAATGGGCAGCAGGGTTGGTGGCAGTGGGTCTGAGACAGTGGCTTGCGCTGCTGGCGCACAGTGGCTTCAGTTGGACTGCTCAGACATGGCAGAGATCAAAGTCCTTAGCGGCTTGGTCAGAAACAGGAAGAGTTTCCCATCTCTGGCAGCACTGGCATTGCTGTGACCAGCAAACTTCTTGATTTAGGATTTCCAATAAGTGTGAAACCAGAGAAGCAATGTGGACATCTTTGGCCCGTCTCCTGGAGGAAAATGAAAGAAGGCAGGGGTCGTGCAAACCCATCTCTGCCTCCCTTGCGTGCTACTGCTTAGGAAGTTCACCTTGCTATCCTTGGAGGAAAGCTGGTAAGCTGTGAGGAACTAGAGAATGTCTAAAAATGAGAAGTTCCACATGAAAATTGAAATATTACATCTAAAAGAAAGAAGAAGAAAAAAAAACAGAGGGAGGAAGAAAAACCTGATACAATGAATGCTTGAGTCATGTATTATTCTGGATTAGCTCTGCCCTGGAAAGATCCCATACACCCTATGAAATCCATTACCTACAAGCTAGCGAACATTTGTACAGCACATGATGCGGAGCTCCTGGCTGAAGCTGAGTTCCCCCGTATAATATCCACCCCAGGGTAGATTGGTCCATGTCCAGTGTCAACAGCCAGAGGATTAAGCATTTATCTCCGCAGAACAGTGGGTAATTAATACCAGAACTAGGGGCTATGCTCGAGAGAGCTGCCTTGTAGCTCTGTTTGTGAGTGAGCATGGCTTTACTGCCCGCGGGCGAGTTGCGGGCGGCGGGGTGGCCTTCACTCTGTCCTGCGAGGTGCAGGCGTTGCCTTGGCGATACGTGCGCCGCAGTGGAGCATCAATAGCTACGGGGCTTTGTGCTGGAACGGCGTGGGGCTTCCCAATGAACCCGAGCGTGACTTCTCCCAGGGCAGTAGGTACTGGGGGTATAAACCCACCTTCTGAGTGCTGGAAGAATGGAATCGGGATGCTGCGATTTGCTATCTTCTGGATTTAAATGTAAAATCCAGGTTTTGGCACTTCTGGCTTTCTTGAAATAAATTAATACCGTTATCCTGGCCACAGTCCAGTTCAGGTAATTATATTCTTTCTACCTTAATGCCACTCCAGCCCCATGTCTCCGCTGGATACGCTATACTCTAATTCCTGTCTGGAACTTGCTTATTATGTTACAAAGTCTTTTTATTTTTTTCCCCTCCGAGCACTAACCAGCTCCCAGCGCTGCGCTGAGCTGCTCAAATCATCGCGACGACCTGCCTTAGACACTGCACCGCGCCTGCTAGTGTCCTGGAGCATCTCTCCTGCCTTGTCAGCCTGCTGAGCTGGGAAGGTGGATAACACAAAAGGTGGGAGCAAATGGTGCGGTCCCGTGACTGCTAGAAACGCTCTTCTCTCTTCTCAGAGGGCCTTAGGCTGGTGTGTGAGGTTACGGAAGGAAGTTTGGGACTCGGAGTGGTTGGCTTTCCTTCCCCCGTTGCCATTTCTTCCCAGAGTTTTGAAGACTGAAGTATGTCCTTACTTCCAGCTGGGGGAAGAGTCCTCTTGCCTTCAAGGGGAATATTAGCAGTATCCTAATGTAAATAGATCCAAAACTCCCTGCTAATATAGTGGAGCAGTCCTGTCTTGATTTTTTGAGGTTAGCATCCAGCCCTAACAAACCCCGTTCCCTGCAGTTGGTGAGCAGTACTGAAAGCTGGCTTGGAGTGCCTGGCTTCCCTTTTGGAGCGCAGCTTGCTCGTCCGTGTTGGTGGCTCGGTGGCCCTTCCACCTCCTGCAATTGATGCATTGGGTTGGTTTTTTCCCCCCCTTTGAAATGTATGTGAAGTCGCCTTCTTTCCTTCCCCTTTCAACCGCGCTCCCTTCATCTCCTGGCCTCGCCAAGCGGCTGAAAAGGTTGCTCAAGCAGTACTTGAGGAGAGCGTC